GTGTGGGTAGACCCCTGCGCTCAAGAGGGAGGGTGTCAGTACGACCCCCCCCCTCCCCACTGAAGCTCTTCAGTAATATCGTGATGAAGCGCGTTGAAGCTCTTCAGTAATATGAAAGAATATTGATCGGCGACGTCGCTAGTGATTTGGAAGAGTGTAGAAGAATAGGAGAGTACCAGCGTGGTACTCTGGCAACGCACCGCCTCCCATTCTCCCATACATTTTCAAATCAGAGCTTTTGCCGAGCGATACCCGTATTTAGCTGCGTTCTCTTGGGAGCACGCTTGCAATGGCAGCGCGACGATACGCGCTACAAGATGTCGTAGGCAGCGTTCATACCCTCGCCCGAGTTCTGTGGTCAGTATGCGAGGGCTACCGAGGGGTGAACGACCTCGGCCAAAGAAGCTAGTTCGAATTGGGACCCTGAACGTGGGGTCGCTTACCGGGAAGTCTCGTGAGGTTGCCGACCTCATGAGACGAGGAATATCCAAGTCCTATGCCTTCAGGAAACGCGATGGAAGGGTGCGAAGGCCGCGAGATTGGAGAAGGCGTCAAACTCTTCTACAATGGAGCAGACACCAAACGGAATGGCGTGGCCATAGCGGTGGCAGAATATCTGAGAACGCTGAGGGAGAACGGATCCTTGACCTAGCCACAGCTCACGACTTAGCAATCTGTAGCACCTTCTTCGCGAAAAGGAGGACTCAGAAGATAACCTACAGCAGTGGAGGGAGACAAACGGAAATCGACCATGTCCTGGTCAGAAGATCGTCTCTCAAAACCGTCAAGGATATCAAGGTACTGCCTGGGGAAGAGCTGGGCCCTCAGCACAGGCCTCTCCTGGCAGACATCACCATAGACCTGAATTCGGTGGTGGAAAATGCGCAAGGTAGAAAAGGATAGCCTCGGCCGAAGAATACTGGAGGCTGGGCTCCCAGACCCACACGGGCCAGTCCAGGACACCTGGACCTACGCAGCAGAGGTCATCCTACAGTGTGCCAAGGAAGTCCTGGGAGAGACGCGAGGTGGTATCAGAGGAGACAAGGCAGCCTGGTTCTGGAACGAGGAAGTCCAGGGGATCGTCAAGCAGAAGAAGGAAGCATACAAACGCTGGCAAAAGACACGGAGCCCAGAAGACTACGCTGCCTACAAGAGCTGCAGGCGACTAGCCAAACGCAGCAACGGGGCCATTCTCAGGAAACCAGCCGAAGTCAGAAAGAGGTGGGAAGAATACTTCGAGGGACTACTGAACGAAGAATTCCCTCGCAAGGATAGCCCACAGATAGAGGCGACAGGCCCCATCACTCCCTGGACGAAGGATGAAGTCCGCCGTGAGCTAGGGAGAATGAAAGTTGGGAAAGCAGTGGGTCCAGACGGGGTACCGATAGAGGCATGGAAGGCCCTGGGAGAGCTTGGGGTGAGTTGGCTAACAGACTTCCTAAACAACGTAACGGCTGAAGGAAGGATGCCAGATGCGTGGAGGAGCAGCACAATCGTCCCCATCTTCGAACAGTAAACAACGTAACGGCTGATGGAAGGATGCCAGATGCGTGGAGGAGCAGCACAATCGTCCCCATCTTCAAACAGAAGGAGTGCTCCAACTACCGCGGCATCAAGTTGACTCCCCATACCATGAAGCTGTACGAGCGCCTGGTCAACACTAGGCTGAGGGAACTTGTCCCTATCTCGCAGGAACAGTTCGGCTTCATGCCCGAAAGGTCCACCACTGATGCCATCTTCATCGCCAGACAGCTGATGGAGAAGTACCGAGAGAAGCGGCGACCCTGCTACCTAGCCTTCCTGGACCTTGAGAAGGCATTCGACCGCCTGCCTCGGCCTGTACTCTGGAGAGCGCTCAGAGAACGTAACGTTCCGGAGCACCTGGTCTCCATAGTGAAGGATATGTACGATGGGGCTAAAGCAGCTGTACGCACCCCGCACGGCTTGACGAAAGAGGTAAACATTACGGTTGGGGTACACCAAGGATCAGCCCTCAGCCCGTTCCTCTTCCTCCTGACTCTAGATGTCATGGCAAAAGAACTCATGGAGGGACCACTGAAAACCATCCTCTACGCTGACGACATCGCCCTGATAGCGGACAGCAGGGAGGAACTCCAGGACAAGGTGCAGCGGTGGCAGGATGTGCTCGCTGAGAATGGACTCCGGTTGAACGTGAAGAAGACCAAGTTCCTGAGCTCTGAAGAGTGTACCGAACCCATCGTAGACCGCCATGGCGAGAGCATCGAAAGGGTCGAGGACTTCCAGTACCTGGGGAGCGACCTAGCAGCTGATGGCAGCGTGGACCAGGCGGTGAAGGCCCGAATCAACGCAGCCTGGATGAAATGGAGGGAGTCCACTGGCATCCTGTGCGACCGGCGGTGCTCGAGAACGCTCAAGGGCAAGGTGTACCGGGCGGTATAAGGCCTACGGCAGTGAGTGCTGGCCCATCTGCAAGAACCATGAAAGGCAGCTCCACTCAGTTGAAGGCTCTGAGATGGGCCTGCGGCTGGACACGACTCGACAGAGTCAGAAACGAGGACGTCAGGGCGGTCACACAGACGGCTCCGATCCAGCTGAAGGCACGAGAGCAGCGACTGCGATGGTATGGGCACGTGCTGAGAAGGCCTGAGGACCACCCAATAAGGAAGGCATTGGAATTCGAAGCAGAGGGCAAGCGACCACGAGGAGCCCCAAAGAAAAGATGGAGGGACGTCATCAAGAAGGACCTCACTGAAGTGAAAGCCACGGCAGAAGATGCAGTGGATCGGAACAAGTGGCGACGTCTAACAAGAACGTTCTCTTGGGAGCACGCTTGCAATGGCAGACGACGATACGCGCTACAGGGTGTCGTAGCGCGTCGACACCCCTAATCTCGAAGTTTCTAACGTCACCTCACGCTAGTGTGCGGGTCAGATCGCACTCCAACCTTTTCATGAATCTGGATGGGACCCCATAACGTGGTCGTTCTCAATGGATTGCTCTGATCAAAGCGCGGGCGATTCCTAATGGATTGCTCTGATCAACCCTCGTTCCCTATTACGCCGCCTTTTTCGGGATTCGGCAACCCCAGTGTTGCAATCTGGCAGCTGACAGCTCTATCGTAAAGTTTGACCTTTTTGAGGTTATACGTACTCAGAACATTTTGACATTTGAGCGCTCTTTGTGTTGTTTACACTAGCTTAAACTATTTTGGTCGGCCGTTGGTGAGGACAACATGTTTGGTTTTCAACGCGAACAAATTTTTTTGACAGTCAAATGTTCATGCAATATTGAATGTATGCTGGTCCGAGACAACCTTAAAGACACATGGTACGCTCATACACATTGAGGGTGTATGAGACTATCAGCCCCCCAGATGTCGATGTGTCGTGGTCCCCCCGCCCAAACATGCCCAGGAATGGAGATACAGGGCCGTGAAACACGCTAATTCTTCCATGCTCCGCCCACTGCCTTTTTACGGCGCAGATTCCCGCCGTTCATAACATCCGTTGCAAGCGCGCCTGTCGCGTGCGGCTCCTTGGCACTTTGCCAAGTCCTTTAATTGCGCTCTCAAATACAAGTAAAACGCAATTTCCTGATGCGGATAACATTGGAGGTGCTACAAAATAAGAACAGAAGATGATGACGAGGGTCAGAACTTAAAAGCAACTGTGCCACTTCTGCAACATCCCTCGGAGGCCACGTATTTCCACGAAACATGAAAATAAAAACGGCATACTCGTTAGTTTAATACAAGCAAAACGCAATTTCCTGATGCGAATAAAATTTAGGTGTTGCTCATGCTTCAAAATCCATGTACAAGGAGATGAAGATGACACAGGCTAGAAATGAAGCACAACGATGTAAATGTAAACAAAACAAAAATGAAAAAATCAAGGAAAGGCAAATTAGATAAACTGGCCTGTAAATTTCTACGATCCGGCGCCAAAGCCATAGAAATACTTAGAACAAACGAGTGGGACGCTTGGGCTGTTTTTATTTTCATGTTTTGTGGAATGCGCGGCCCTTGATGGATACTGCAGATGCAGCCGAGTTGCTCTTGAGTTCTGGCCCTTGTCATCATCTTCTGTTCTTATTTTGTAGCACCTCCAATGTTATCCGCATCAGGAAATTGCGTTTTACTCGTATTTGAGAGCGCAATTAAAGGACTTGGCAAAGTGCCAAGGAGCCGCACGCGACAGGCGCGCTTGCAACGGATGTTATGAACGGCGGGAATCTGCGCCGTAAAAAGGCAGTGGGCGGAGCATGGAAGAATTAGCGTGTTTCACGGCCCTGTATCTCCATTCCTGGGCATGTTTGGGCGGGGGGACCACGACACATCGACATCTGGGGGGCTGATAGTCTCATACACCCTCAATGTGTATGAGCGTACTATGTGTCTTTAAGCTTCAAGGGGACCAGCATACATTCAATATTGCATGAACATTTGACTGTCAAAAAAATTTGTTCGCGTTGAAAACCAAACATGTTGTCCTCACCAACGGCCGACCAAAATAGTTTAAGCTAGTGTAAACAACACAAAGAGCGCTCAAATGTCAAAATGTTCTGAGTACGTATAACCTCAAAAAGGTCAAACTTTACGATAGAGCTGTCAGCTGCCAGATTGCAACACTGGGGTTGCCGAATCCCGAAATATAAAAGGCAGCCCTCGTAACAGTTTGGGCTATTATGACACACTCACCGTTGTCACCTTTGTCAAAGTAACATTCTGAAATATTGATTTTTCAGAAATCGAAAATGGACTGTCTTATGCTATGCCTTCTGTTATTTCGTCACCTTTGACGTCGCCATGAGCGAAAGCACAAGAAAAATTCCTTTGCCGCTTGATGGGCGTAATTTTTTTGGCACCTATTGCAGATGCTGGATGTGGGGCATACTGTGCTATAAGGGTAAGATCCCTTCGCTGTTTGTTTGATGAGCTATTTTCAGTGAATGCAACTCGATTATTTCTTTTCGTTCTACCAACTTTACGTACGACTTCATCATTACAATGATAGAAAATGTCCAAAGCTGTAGTACATGTTAGAACGTATGGGCGGAGTCAGAGATTTCATTATGATTCACCGCCAGCGGTAATGTAAGGCCCTCCGATCAGCACTTTGTCAGGACTGATGGTGAGCGTGGCAGGGAGCGAATCACTCCTCTTCCGGGCTCAGCCTTAACAAAGCGCTAAAAATGGTGCTGATGTTGGAAAACGGCTTTTATAATCGTGATGAGTGCACCGACTTACCCCTGCAGACAAAACTCCAACAAAAAATACTGAATTTTGGGATAGGAACAGCTCAGTAGTACCAAGCTCTCCAGTAACTGAGTTAAAAATCCTAAAGGTTGACCGAGTGAAACCTGATCCACAAACTCTTGAAAGACCGATCAATTTCACCCAGCATTTTAACTATTTGTCGTCAATGACTTTTTTTGTTTTCTATATTACTATTTTCAGAACTGTGGCCATGGTGTCTGTACGCTGCAAGGCAATGAAAAGCTGTGCATGTGCGAAAGATGCCCGCTACCATCTCAGGCAGGATTAGCAGGGGGAGGGCCTCCGGGAATGCCTCAAGGAGGGCCTCCGGGAGGGCTTCCGATGATGCCTCAGGGAGGGCCTCCGGGAGGGCTTCCGATGATGCCTCAGGGAGGGCCTCCGGGAGGGCTTCCGATGATGCCTCAGGGAGGGCCTCCGGGAGGGCTTCCGATGATGCCTCAGGGAGGGCCTCCGGGAGGGCTTCCGATGATGCCTCAGGGAGGGCCTCCGGGAGGGCTTCCGATGATGCCTCAGGGAGGGCCTCCGGGAGGGCTTCCGATGATGCCTCAGGGAGGGCCTCCGGGAGGGCTTCCGATGATGCCTCAGGGAGGGCCTCCGGGAGGGCTTCCGATGATGCCTCAGGGAGGGCCTCCGGGAGGGCTTCCGATGATGCCTCAGGGAGGGCCTCTGGGAGGGCTTCCGATGATGCCTCAGGGAGGGCCTCCTGGGAGGGCTTCCGATGATGCCTCAGGGAGGGCCTCCGGGAGGGCTTCCGATGATGCCTCAGGGAGGGCCTCCGGGAGGGCTTCCGATGATGCCTCAGGGAGGGCCTCCGGGAGGGCTTCCGGGAATGCCTCAGGGAGGGCCTCCGGGAGGGCTTCCGGGAATGCCTCAGGGAGGGCCCTCCGGGAGGGCTTCCGGGAATGCCTCAGGGAGGGCCTCCGGGAGGGCTTCCGGGAATGCCTCAGGGAGGGCCTCCGGGAGGGCTTCCGGGAATGCCTCAGGGAGGGCCTCCGGGAGGGCTTCCGATAAGCCCAGGGAGGCCTCCGGGAAGGCTTCCGATGATGCCTCAGGGGGGCCTCGGGAGGACCTCCGATAATGCCTCAGGGAGGGCCTCCGGGAGGGGCACAGAAAGGGCCTCCAGTACAGGCCCAAAGAGGGCCTCCGCCGGGGGCTCAGGGAGGGCTTTCGGGAGGGGCTCAAGGACGGCCTCCGGGAGGGCTTACGGAGACCTTCAAGAATGGATTCCGAGAGGGGCTCAAGGATGTTTTCAAGGACGGATTCGGGAAGGAGCTCAAGGGGGTCCTCAAGGATGGACTCCGGGAGGGCCTCAGGGAAGTCCTCAAGGACGGTCTCCGGAAGCGGCCCAGGTAGAGCCTCAAGGATGGCCTCCGGGAGGGAGGAGATGAAGACAATGAAATTTGCATTATGTTCGATAACGCATAAATTTTTTTCAGTAAGGTTGCTCAACACAAGGATAACATTCTTATTGAAAATAATATATGAGGTCTGTGAGCAAGAGCAGCCTTGTTGCAGGCCTCGCAGCGAAATTACGAATTACGAATGGTGTCGAGTGCGCGACATTCATACTTGGGGTGCTGCCCGTTTGCACCTTTTTATCTGCGCTTCGCCAAGAACCATCTCCTGCTTCTCAATCTGACTGAGACATAAGGGATGGTTCGACCCTTCTTTTTGAGGCGATTCAAGCACCAACTAGTTGTGAATGCGTGGTTTGTCCATATTTCGTAGAGTAGAAGGAAAGCAAACCGTAATCAGAGTTCATTCATCCAGAGGAAGACTGATGTCGATAGATCAATACCCAAGGGATGGAAGATCCTGAAACCTACCCTGGTTGATCGATTCTGCTTTGGCGAAGGCGATAACTCTTCACGCAAAAATATTGCACCATTGGTGCGGTAGCCGTCCCACTTAATAGCACCGCATCCTTCATCACATGCTCTTGATCCAGTTCAAGATAATAATAAGAGCGATAGACCACTCTGAATTCACCCCCTTCCTACAGCGGTTCGCCGAGATCACTGCTCATCTCTCCAAAGTTTCGTTTCGATGTTCCATCACCGTTGTCCCTTAATTACACACCGACTTGCATCATTACTGAACGGATGGACGGAGACTGCCAAGTATAGGGTGCTTCTCATTCGCGTGACCCTGTTCCTGAGCGTACGGGAGTGCATCAATGAGAAGCATTCGATGGCTATGGCTCTCCACAAACCCGGTGATCGCAGAATGCGTCAAAATTGATCAATGCCGCTTGAGAACAGATCGCAATTTTCCCTCTACTAGTTTGGATGGTTTTCGAGGCTTAAACCGCTTCTGAATTAAAACAAAAAAAAAAACAAATTGGAAAAAGAATACATGTCAGACCCTGGTTTACCCCCCTATGTCAGGCCTGGGTCTTCTGTAGTGCCATCGATCCTCGAAGGACCTAGTGTCCATGGCTAACAGACTAACCATAAGGCACACAATGTGTACGCAGGGGACGGCTTCGTCACGCGGTGGAGCTGCGGGAGTGTGGTGTGGTTGCGCCCATGGAATAGGGGGGGGGGGTACGCCTAGGGCATTGTCTCCGTACCCTCTGATGGTTTCTGTATTGTCGAACCGACCGTTCACGGAGGATAGGGAAGAACACGTCTAGCCAGTATGCTTGCCTAAGGTGCCGCCTTTCTGGGAGCAGTAATGCTGAAAGCTGACTCCTCTAACAAGGGAACCCCAACAGGTCGATCCGGCCTTTCGTAATGAGATGTATATGTATGGACGTATCTTGAGCCGCCAAATCGAAATCTGTTCTCCAAATTTGCGGAACGATTCTCTGAAGGAGTTACGGAAACTTTAATCTTGGCTCAGTTTGCACAACTTGAGAAGGATAATTGCATGCGGCAAGCGGCCGATGGCCTAGTGGATATGCGCACTGCTTCAGAAACACGAGGTCGTATGTTGGAGTCCTTGACACTGAGAATTTCTTGCTTTTGTTCAAACACTCGATATTAGCCACCAAGAAACTTCTGTTTAGCCGTTTCGCCTAGTTTTTCGATGCCAACGGAAGGCGGGCGATTCTCTTTTTGTGACTCCTTTTGAAAACTTTTACCATAAGGCAACTTTTACCATTTCCAGAGATTGCATCAATGAGTGAGGATCTTAAGGTTTAGGAGCACATATGGTATTCTTAAACGAAATGGTAGAAACAATACAACTCACAATGAGCGCAGCGAATGAAAAAGTACTCTGCACATACGGTACGCCGTCAAAGCCGTCTATTACTCTACGCTCCTTACGAGATGGTAGGCGTGCTATTTCGCAGGAACCGAAGTTCCTCAACAGATACGCTAGTACCAGCTTTGGGCGAAACATCTCGATAAGAACGATTTGCTGTTGCTACGGAAATGCCACGTGTCGATAGATCACAATCACGAAGGCTGACTATATCGATCCGGCGCAGATCACGAAAACAGAATACTGTTGGAACCAAGAACAAAATTTAAGTACATGTTCCCCGCTGGAGTGTGGAAGAGACTGTAAACTGTACTACGTGTGCGGAGCACTTTTCATTCGGCTGTGCTCATTGTGAGAAGTTGTATTGTTTCTTTACCATTTCGTGGAAAATGACCATATGTGCTCCTGAACCTTAAGATCCTCATTCATTGATGCAATCTCTGGAAACGGTTAGCTATAATAAAACTTTTTAAAAGGAGTCACAAAAAGAGAATCGCCCGCCTTCCGTTGGCATCGAAAAATTAGGCAAAACGGCTAAACAGAAGTTTCTTGGTGGCTCATATCAAGTATTTTGAACAAAAGCAAAAATTTTTCAGACAAGGATTCCAACATGCGACATCGTGTTTCTGAAGCAGTGCGCATATCCACTAGGCCATCGGCCGCTTTGCGCATGCAGTTGTCCTTCTCAAGTTGTGCAAACTGAGCCAACTCAAGCCAAGATTAAAGGGTCCGTAACTCCCTTCAGAGAATAGTTCCGCAAATTTGGAGAACAGATTTGGATTCAGCGGCTCAAGCTACGTCCATACATATCCATCTCATTACAGATGGCCGGATCGCCCTGTTGGAGTTCCCTTGTAAGAAGACAGCTCATTAAATGCGCACCGCGTCGAACTCGTCCGCCGTTGAATATACCATTTCGCTCACCCCATTGCGCGCGAAGTGATTGGCCAGTGGATGGACTTCTCCACGATCGGGGCTCCGCAGGCGCGCCGATGCCGATCAATATAGGCATAGATGACTCGCAAAGTCAACTATCTGTTGACTGAAAGCAAAGCGGTAAGCAATGTAAAGTAACAAGAAATATATATACATGACACAACACATCAGGAAATATACCCGAATTCCCTGAGGTCGGGTAGGCGTGGCCGCATGTTTCAACTTAACCTGAAAGTGTCTATGCTTCTGATGAGATATTTTCATCTTCACACAATTGTTGTCGTGTCTCTTTCAAAACAGAACACAATGAAAGTTGTCCCAGCTGGAATATTCCACGAGTAACTAACTCCGTGCCCGATTCACATGCCACGCCTACTCTGACTCAGGGATAAGGAGTGTACGAGTTTTCACATGGGTAAGTGACAAACACTGCAAAACACAGATGGTCCGTTTTGGGCCTCTAGAGGAACCATCACTGTCTCGCGAACCCAAAGGCTCATGGTTGGGGTAGGGTTTACGGAACGATGATAGGGACTACATAGGGGAAAGAGTTGAGAAAAAGGATAAAATGAGAGCTTGTAAGATAGGTGCTCACGCAAAAGGCATACAGTGAAGAGGAGTTGAAGGGAATGGCATAGAAAACTGAATAGAAGATATTATGCGAAGTGTGCGAAAATACGTGTGAAAGCAAAGGATTTTGATTGTACTCAAAGGGCTAAAGCAACTAAGGAAATATTGGGTACTGGAAGGAATCATAAAAGGTTAAAACAAAAAACTGAAATGGTAAATGATACTTTAGTTGTTTAACGACCGTTGCCAATGAAACTATCTCCAACCACTCTACTAATCTTTTTATTATGTGCGAATGACAATTTGTAACTTATAAGATTATTTCTGCTGATACCTTTCACTATGCTAGTTATTTTGAATCAAAAGGCTACGAACAAAGACTCAAGACATCATAGGGCTCTTGTAGTAGTGGTAAACCTTTAGCACAAGAGCTACACAAATTTATCACTCATCTTGAAGTCACTTTATTAATTACGGTAAAGTAATGCAGACCAGTAATCAACACATATTGGTACATAAGTAACATCAAGATAAGCCAGGAACTCGCAATATCCCACTTGACAATCTTAGAATTTACGCTGCGGATTTCACAGATATGTTCACAAAGACAGATCGTGACCTCATCATTGAGAACATTCAAGAACTTCTGAGCATCTGTCTTAAATGCCAACAGATCGTTGGTTTTCGCTAACGGTTACCATATTTTCGACACCAATGGGAAAGAAATTAGAGCAACTATAGGTACTCAAAACCCAGCGACTTAGTAAACCTAACCAACTACCTATTTCGTCATAGTTTTTGCCTTTTTGCTAACAGCATATTCGAACACAACGAACGACGCTCCACGGCAACTTTAGCCCGCTATCGGCAGATCTTACGCTCTTTGTCATGGAGTATAAATATGCAAAATCGCTTCGGTTCAATAGTGGCAAGCTGTTCATTCTATACAGATTAAGGACGATTTACTCGTGGTACATAACCAAGATGAGAACAGCGTGGAATAACAACTTACAGATGTCTAAAAAACACACTTCGGTGGAAAAACTCATATATGTGACATATCGAGTAATTATCTGGATTACAAGAGCTCAGTTGTATGATAAATAGACTTTAGCTTCAAGGTTATTAGTTCCCATACAGCGATGCAAGTATGTGTATCTCTCAACAATAAAGCTTTTGTTGTATACACAGAAACTCTTTGATTACGAACTTTTGCTCAATTTCTGATACATTCGTATGTAATGTATCTATGTATCGTAAATCACTAGAACTTTGTTGGGCTTTGGCTATAAGGA